ACTTCGGGTAACACTGAGGCGACAATCGATGAGAAGGCGTTTCGTGACGCCTTGGTAATCTTTACCCTCATGCGTGCTGGGCGGGTCATACCAAGCGTCTCCGTCCGCGCCTTCGACCCACCTGCACCACTGGGTGCCGTTATTATCATCGGCGCAGCGCGCATCCAGAACTTGCGCTTTGCACGCGACCTCGGTCTTTCCCCCGCTGAGGTCAGCGTAATCCTGGATAACCTCAATATCCCCCTCCTGCGCAGCATCGATGCAGAACAGCGGTCCATCCCTGAAAATGCGCTGTCTGCATTCCTCTGCCGCCATCCCACTGTGCAGCACTTGAGTCTTCGCGGACCGCCGCCGATGCCACCTTTGCGGATCCTACCGACGTCCATGCCTCCAGACGCTCTTCCGCAGCTCCAGCACATTATCGGCAGCGCGCGTCTCATTGCCTGGGCGCTCGCGTCGCCGGACCCCTTCCCGCAGCTCGTCGTCACCACCATAGAATTATACCCCGCCTTCGGTCTCCCTGCAGACTATCGCGCCGCACTGCACGGGCTTGCGCGGCGCCCCACCATGGACACCCTCGTTCTCCAGTTCAATGGCTGGACGCCGTGGAACGAGCAGGACTTTACTGCTCCGACGGCTCAGGAACGCGAGTTGCAGCAGGTCGTCGACCTGCGGCTCACATTCCGCTTGCCTTCGCGCTTGCCGCGGAGCCCAGCGTTCATCCAGTGGTTGAGACTATTCAGCAGCGTGCGTGCGGTGACGTTTTTCGGCTATTTCGCGCTCGACGATTGGTGTGTTGTGCTCAGGAAGGAGCTGCCGCACATCAAGTTTACTTCACATGTCCTCAGTGGTGCGTTCGCTTCATCGACCGTTTCAGACCTGAGAAGTTGATTGTCTCCAGCGAACAACCGGTGAATATGGTAGGCCTAGAACGGAATGGTTTGAATACTTCTTTTCATCCTTGGTGATTTCTGGTACCTGGGTCGCAGACGCCGGAGTGTAAGTTGAATATTGCCGTCCGTTGGATTTCAGTGTGCAGAGAAAGGATAATCGGTGTGTTCGACGCATTCTTGTGCGGCGGCACTCGTCCCATCTATGCATCCCGTTAACCCTTTCGAACACGTTATCCGTGGTCGACGGGGGAAGAAGCTTGGAAGGGTTCGGCTGTTCGCCGAGTTGAAAATCGGAGCGCCGTGATTGCCGCGGTTGATTCGAGGTGACCGCTGGGGGAGGACCAACGCCGGCAACATCGCGGCTTTTTTGCCGTGTTGCCGTCGTTTGTCGCTGCGTGCCGGTCCTCAACTTTGGACGAGTTTCTTGCTTAAAAAATGTAGCGACTAAATGAATAACAAGCTCCAGCACGTACAGTAATAATAAGCCCCCCCACTCGTTTGATGTTTTTTTTTTTCGAAGATGGCATGATTGATGAGCATCGAAGACATCTGTCCGATGTTGATTCAAGAAAGGACATGAAGAAACCAATTACGATTGAACGAAGTTTCGAGGCGTCACACGACTGTAAAATTCGCTGCGCGGTGCTCAACAATTTACTGGATGGTACAGTTTGAATTGATAGTACAGCTATCCGTTACATTTATATCTTACATGGTGCGTCAACCTCCAGAGAGGACGCCGATCTTTTTACATTGAAAACATTGTTCGGCCAATCAGGTAAAGGGGTTGAAACGAAGAAGGGCGCCGTCACTGCAGTGACTGCACTCTGGGATACATGTTGGCGTCAACGAAGACCTTGTCGCTGGTAATGTGAAGGACGCTCTGGGCGCGAACAGCATCGTCTCCGCCCTGCGTGCCGAACGTGCCTGTCCACGCGGATCCCTTGGAATTCGGCGTCCAGCGCAAGGAGGTCGGGAGCGACGCTTCCTCCGCCTCCCAGATCGTACGCCGAAGATTCACAACGCAGATGACGAGCGTCGGATAGAGGCCCGCCATCTGGTTCCCCATAGCACTAATGATTCCCCAGAGGTAGACCGCGGGCGAAGTCAAGGTGATGACCTGGGCCGCACCGAAGACCGAAATTATTTGACTAAACTGAAGGAATATCAGATCTTGTCGTCGGCAAAGAGTCAGGCTTTGGTACCCAGAGTAAGCTGTAGATGAAGCCAGAGTCGAAAAGGATAGACAGTGCTTTTTCTCCTGACATCCGGCTGGGTTTCCCCAGCGGGCGCGTTATTTTGCGATGCTGCCTGGGAGTCTATATCAGCGGACTCATCCTCAGGCGCGAAAGAGATGCATACCGGGCTTTCAACCCAATAAATATCGTGCAAGCGATGTTGGTTGCGGCGGAGAGCCCCCAGCCAATCAGCCCGGCTTGATTGCATATAGCTGCAGTGGGCGCAACACTGTCATAGTTGTTGCACCAGGTGTCTATGATCGAAAAAACTAGAAAGGGAAAGCAGGAATCAAAGTCAGTACTGGATGTGAGAGTTTCCGTAACCTACTGAACGTCAGGAGCAGGAGGGTGCCTGGCAGTAAGATAACCAGAATCCTGCGTTGAGCTCTGTGTTGGTAAACGGCCCAAGTGCGCCAGACGACAACGCCGTCTCCAACGGCCATCTATTATTGCTCGTTGAGGATAATCACGGACGACTGAGGTTGAACCTGCACCGACGTTGAAGTCGAATATCGCTTCCTGTATCCCGATCACTGGGAGAATTGCCGCCTTGGTTAGCCCCGGTCGGGCTGGGAATGGAATGTCGGAAACCATTAAGAATCCGTGGATATCGGTGAGCGTAACCCAGACGTTCATGGCCCACTGAGCAGCGGATGCCACATAGAGATAAACCACAACCACAAGCATGACGATGGAGGCCCGATTTCTCAGGCCTTTCCGCCTAGGATTCGAAGTCAGGCATAGGATGACTGTCTTTTACCGACAGAACTCACATGATTGAATACACCGCAACGGCGAAAAATATTCCATATGCACCTCGTAAACGTTCAGCAAACGTCCTAACCGTGATGAAATCGCCTACCGAAAAAGATGGTTTGGGCAATCGTACCGCCAACCGCGTGTTGTATAAAGAATCCGATATCAACGAGCTCGACAAGCACCGCTGCAAGTTGAGTTTGGTCTGCCTTGGAGGACATGAAATCAAAAATAACAGTCCGCCGGCGGAAAAGAACTGGAAAAAGTCGCAGACTGGGGACTCTCGGAGTGGCGCGGGGTAGAAAGGAGGCGTACGCACTCTGAGATGTATATAAGCCTTCTATTCACATCTCGTTCGCACGTCGAAGAAATTTGGATGATCTGTCAACTCATCTAGATGGTTGATAGGCAGTGTACACAGATCCCGTGGCGTTGGACTGCGCCACTACTGCGCCGTCATTTCTTGGATGCGCCCTTGCTACGAGAATATCAGGAACACAAAGATCATGAGTGACAGAGAGATCCACGGTTAATCCCCAGATCATGGTTTTCCACGGAGCAGCGGGCTGAACTTCGTGACGCCCGTATCGCCCTGAGGAAGTACCGTTGATGACAACCAGATTCCATGGGTGTTGCCACATACCATGAAATTGACCTCGGCTGCTCATCCAACTGGCCTGAGGACCATCAAAATGGAAGGGGTATGCAGCGGTCAAACAAAAACCAGTTTCCGTCATCCGCAAGTTAGGAAAGTTGGGAGCGTTTACAAGGTTGCGGTAGGTTGCGATGCCTGTTCAGCGTCACTGCGACGATCATCATTCGGGTATGATCGTGGCGGCCTCGTATCTCCGCATCATGATCATCGGGCGGAGTTTAAACGACTGGTTGATGATTGGCTGTACGGTTGTACTCAAGTTCTGCCGAGCGAAAGCCAACACTATGGAATTATAAATGTCATTTGAGCGACCTCCCAGCGTCTCGTCTTGGTCTCGTCCTTGCCAAAAATTATTCAACTTGCTCACGCTCGCAATTGACTCGGACTCAGGCGGCAGTGGGGGCTAGTCTCTCGTAGACAGACGCTACAACAAATTTGCTCGTACCTCGCAATGTTGTAAGTGGGCGCTGATACAACTGAAGAAAGTGCCGCGCACAAGTTCATTTGAAACTCCATTTACTTGGTTGAGGCAGGAAGTGAGATTCCTTGCGAGATGGTAAAAAAAATTCACGGTAACTCAAGGCACCGGCACCAGGAGAATATCCCTCAAAGTCAAAGAAAACGTGTACTTACTGTACTATTTCATTCAATTCTAACCTGTGACCCAAAAATTTGAACTTGAGTTTTCGTAGATTGGCCGGGCGCACCCTGACACCAAAGAAAAGTATATTCGGTGCGCACCGTTGAGCCGGATATGGTGATGAGCGGAGGAATTCATGTAAGTTCAACTGATGAGTTGCGTGCTTTGCATGATGAGGCGATTTCCCACCAGCGCTGAACTCAACGCAGGTGACAATACGGTGACAGGACATTCAATGGCACGCACTGGCATAAATTTGGGTCAAGTTCCTTAGAGCGGGCCAGAAGGTCTGGTTTACAATGGCCTTTCGCAGCCCCCAATTCAAGTTCTTGATTTGCCATATCGTGCCGATGAGGTTGAGTGTCCCGCTGAACTGCGGTGCAAAATAAGAACAGAACAAGAAGAAAGATATTCACCAAACCGTCGTGAGCGTAATCATAACTGCGATATCCTTCGCGGTACCCGAGTCAATCACCCGAATCGCACACACGCCCGGTTTGTTTACATGTTTACATTTGTATACCATGCCTGCGTCCAAATACAAGACTGAGGTATGTTGGAGATCCAGTATGGTGAAGCCAACCTCCATTGATAACGGACACGTAGCTCAGTTGGAAGAGCACCAGTCATGAACTCTGGAGGTCCTAGGTTCAATCCCTGGCGTGACCACTCTTTTATCTTCATCAGATTCGCAGTCAGAATGTCGATAATAGGGGCCAATGGTCATTAGTGAACATGGGGCTCTGGAGTCAATTCGCAGTTGGCTACAGGGGGAGTGTTGGAGATCCAGTATGGTTAAGCCAACCTCCATTGATAACGGACGCGTAGCTCAGTTGGAAGAGCACCAGTCATGAACCTCTGGAGGTCCTAGGTTCAATCCCTGGCGTGACCACTCTTTTATCTTCATCACCGCCATGCGTTCAATCGCGCGGACGTCGCTGTGTCCAAACCATGTCTCCAAATCGGTGGGTTGGTTTCGGTTGCGCCCTGCCACAGCCGCTACAACACCACCGCCGTCTAAGTTGTCGACAACATCGACCTGGTAGAGCTTTCGCCGGCCTAACGTCCGTGCGATCTGCCCGTCGATAATTTGGGTTCCATCTTTGTTGAGAACGGTACACTGACCGCCTCCCCATTGACCATGAAACCCACGCGTATCCAGCGTCGTTAAAGAAATGAGGTTCATCGCGAACCCCGGCACATGCAGAGCACCGTCCAATGTGATCTTGTGGACAGTGCCGTCTTGCAGACGGACGGTGAACTCCGCCTTCCCCACACCCGCCACCTTAAAACCTCCGCCCACCTTCACCGCCGTGTGCCTGACGATGTCGAGAGTCCGGTACGTGATGAACCGATCCTGGGAAACGACACATATATCTGACGCAGCGCTATCCAGATATGTGCAAATGCTCGACGGCTCGTGTATTGTGTCGGTAGCGAACACAGATGGCTGGTAAACTACTTCAGGTACAGTACGACTAACATGCTTGTTCAAAACGGGAGGAGCTGACCCTCGACGTCCGAATCTAGGCAACATGTTATCGTCTGCACGTGAAGAGTAGTTCGCCGTTGACGCACCATCGTCCTCGTTGTCGGCAGTGGTACCAAGCGCCCACACTCTCATGGGCGACGCGAAGGCGGCAGTGGGTGCAGGGGACGGCGTGCTGGGAACGGGCACCGAGGTAGACGCTTCGACGCTGGCAGCTGTGGCGGCGACCTTCCCCGACACCTTGGCAGCCTTGTGCGCGTCAACAAACGACTGGTGAGGCTCAAATCCGCGCGGAGCGCGCCACCACGTCCCCGCTTGCCCTTCCTTTCCCCCGCCGTGACCCCAGCAATTCTCCTTGGAATGGCCCCGAATAGCGCAGTTGTCGCATTTGATGACACCAACGACATTCGCCACGAGAGCGTTTGCCACAGTCTCGTTTTCCGCGCGCGCCCTCCACACCAAGTCCCACCAGGCGCGAAGCTCGTTCACGACCTCGTAGACGTAAGTCTTACTCTGCAAGGTGAGAATAGTGGCCACAAGCTCCTCGGCAGGAAGGGATGAGAGGATAATGACGATCATCTCCGAGTCCTGCACACGGCCACCAGAGTCCTTGACATGGTCGCGGAGCTTGGTGAGCTCATCGAGGTGGGTCAGCAGATCACGCCCGCTGTGGAGCTTCAGCGCGCGCAACTTGTCCTTGGCGATCCCAGCGAGGAGATCGGATGTACGTCCGAACTTGCTGTGGAGAGCTACCCACATCGCGCGAGCACTATCCGAAGCGCTCAATCCGTGAGCCTTCGGGTCCTTGACATTCTGGAAGATCAAGGCGCTAACGAAGCCGTCGCGCATGCGGTATTCGTCGACGGAGGGGGTCCCATAGCTGAGCGGGGTGGCGTGGATATGGGGATAGGGGGCAGGACCAGAGTAGGCGTGAATAGAACCATCGAGGTAGCCGTCGAGACCGCGACCGCGAATGAGACTGAATATAAATTCTTTAAAATCAGTCCAGTTGTTGTCGCCCAACTGCTTGTTCTCGGGGAGAATCGTAACGGCCCCGAGGGTCTGAGTCGCCATAGGGGTAAAGGCAATGAAGTGAGTCTTCGAGTACTGGGCTTGTATTTGCGAGCTGATTCAGGGACAGTTGGCACTGTACGCAATCTCTGACTGCGAATCTGATGAAGATAAAAGAGTGGTCACGCCAGGGATTGAACCTAGGACCTCCAGAGTTCATGACTGGTGCTCTTCCAACTGAGCTACGCGTCCGTTATCAATGGATGTTGGCTTCACCATACTGGATCTCCAACACTCCCCCTGAAGCCAACTGCGAATTGACTACAGAGCCCCATGTTCGCTAATGACCGACCCGTGTGTCAGAACACGTCAAAAAGGCGATGATTATACACTTACATCGACTCACACGGACGACGTCCTCGGAGCATCCTCTTCGGAGCAAGAGAGCAAGCGGGTGGTGGAGGAGTTTGCGGCGAAATGGGACTTGAAGGAGGTGGACGTTGAGTTGTTGCTTGGGTTGACGGTGGAGAAGTTAAGTGACAGCTCAATTGCGCTGAGCCAAACGCAATACTTCCAGAAGGTCTTGGCGCACTTCGGTTTTCAAGATCTTCCTCTGCTGTCAACGCCGCTTCCTCCCGGCTATCAAGTCCGCGCTGCGAGTTCGCCGTTATCCCCGGAAGACGCTGCTTTTATGCGCGACAAACCATTCCGTCCAATCCTTGGCACCATCGTCTGGGGGAGCAGCGGAACTCGGCTCGACTTGTCGTATCCATGCTGCGTACTGGGGCACGTCCAATCCAACCCCGCTCCCGAGCACTGGGATTTGCTCATCGGTGTTCTTCGTTACATCAAAGGCACGCTCGACTACGGTATTCGCTATTTCCCGCCGATCAACCCTGACGCTCCTGGAATGGGCTTGAAGCCTGAGGGATTTATGGACTCGGACTGGGCTGGCTGCGTGGACACGCGGCGCTCGACCTCGGGTTATATTTTCTTCATGGGTGGTGCTCCCGTTTGCTGGTCGTCGAAGCGGCAAGCCGTGGTGGCGCTTTCATCTACAGAGGCCGAGTATATCTCGCTGGCTCGTGGAGCACAGCAAGCCATGTGGATGAAGAACTGGCTATCCGAGGTCTTCTTACCCCAGGAACTTCCCTTCCAACTCCGCGGTGACAACCTGGGTTCCATTAGTCTGACGGAGACGACGAAGGGGCATGGGTTGTCAAAGCACCTCGACATACGTTGGCATTACATCCGGAACCGCGTGAAAGATGGGGAAATTGCCGTTTCGTCAGTGCCGGGCAAGGAGCATGTTGCCGACATTTTGACGAAGGCGCTTCCACGGGCAGCGCACGAGAAGATAGTGGGTCAGCTGGGTTTAGATTGGAGGCGGAAGACGGCTGAACGCCAGGGGGAGTGTTGAAGATGGAGTTTCCCCTCTGGGATGTTGGCGTTCAGTGCCATATCGGGTGGTCTCTATTTTCCTTTCTTTTGACGTCGATCGTATCCGCACCATATATATGGTGCGGACTCGTCTCCTGTCCCTCAGTCTTACGCCATTACCTGGGTGCGACTGAGGGTACGTTCTTCTATTACTTACTTATACTTTACGTTACTTACTGGTACTTGTAGACATCGGCTCATTGTATTCTCTACAGGTATATATATTGAGTCTCACACCATTACCTGGGTGCGACTGAGGACATCGGCTCATTGTATTCTCTACATTGATGAAGATAAAAGAGTGGTCACGCCAGGGATTGAACCTAGGACCTCCAGAGTTCATGACTGGTGCTCTTCCAACTGAGCTACGTGTCCGTTATCAATGGAGGTTGGCTTCACCATACTGGATCTCCAACAAGGTAGACTACGAGTAGGTTCGTTCCAAGCCCCGTTCTGACGATGCCGCGCCATGCCGGGCAGACAAATAGACCAAACATCAGACCAAACACATACAAAACGGCCGTCGTCAGAAGGGCTTGCTTCAAACTGCCGAAATCGTGGGGGTTGCCGATCGCACTCTAGCACTTCAACGGTGCCTCGGAGCTACGGGGTCAGTTGAAGAATCTTTAAATGATAAGCATGGCTACAATATTGCACAAGAGTTAATAATAATTGGTGCAGACTCATCTGGAAACGCCTTTGGCTCACATAGAGCGCGGGCCGCGACGGTAGATCACCGATCACTCGGTAGCACCGGGTAGAGCCGACACTTCTCTGTAGAGCACCATAGCAAACCCCACTCTACATCGAACGTACCAATCACATAGGACCCTTCTATCCACATTGCTCTACAGAAAGCACTTGTTTCACATGGAAACTCGGCAACTCTGATATTTCACATGGACCTTCTGGCAATATATAAGGTCCGCCAAGTCCGCAAACCGTTGCCCATCCCTTCTTCCCTCCCATCACCTCAAAGTCTTTTCCTGATCTACACGGTCTTCAAGCTAATACAACACCTCAATTCAGTTCAAGTCTCGAGATCTCAAGTTCCGCATTCTTCAAGTCTCGAGATCTCAAGTTCCGCATTCTTCAAGTCAAGTCAGCGCCGCGCAAACACTTGAAATTCTTCAACGTCCTCATTGGCATCATCATTTGAATTCAAGACTGTCTCTCGCTGTCTCTCTTGTCTCTGTCTCTGTTGCGGAAAATCCTTGGAGCGTTAGGTGAATTCAAGGTCGGGAACCTCTTTATCTAATAGTATACTACGAAGTTCCCTGTACCGTTGTCGCTCTTTAGAAATGCTATGTTTTCTTTGCTCCATATTTTTCGACGCGGATTTGAACCACAACAAAAAATAAGGGGACGATTGGACCGGACCGCAACACGCGTGGTGTGATTTTAGCCGATGTTATCCCCGAGACGTTCTCTACATAGATCTATGTTGCTCTATGGCTCTATGGATCTACAGATCTACGGCCTCTATGGGTATCTATAATAGAGGGTACATAGCTACCACGCTACTGCCCTACCTACCTCTCTGTAGAGCACTGTAGGTATGTGGGGCTTTCCAGATGGAATTCATCGAGTTAGAGGTGCCCCAAAGATGGTGAAAACACTGTTTTTTTTGCAATGCTTCAAGGATATTTATTTCTCGCTGAATCCCAATGTCCTACTCATTGAAGACTGTCTCATTACATGGCTTCATAATCCTTGTTTTACGCCAGCACCCCGTGGCCTGAAACCCAAGCTATTCCACATTGATTTCTGAAATTGACCGAAATCACATACATTCTCACGGTCCATCAGCGCTCGCCTAAAAACAAGTGAAGTTATTAAAGCCACTCAAACACGCCGAATGGACGTGCCATATACTTCATGAGACCTCAAGATCCCCCTGGAAAATCCTCAATAATATTATATCCCACTTCCCGGTATAACTTCGACGCGCC